GAGAAATTGATCAAACTCGCACCTTTCTTGTCTGACCATCCGTTGGAGTCACCTAAGCCTGCACCAATATTTTTCCCATGCCACCATATAAGTTACCTTGATTGCATCTATTTTCTACCTCATTCTTCAAGACCTAAGTCCTTATTTCTTAAGGAGAAGGATGTTTTACCCTAGCTCGAGTCCCCTAACCTCTTCTATCATCTCTTCAAGATGGGCTATTCAAGAAGTTGAATGATAACTCGTTAGTAAATATACATTTCCTAATCTTATGCACAATTACGTCTCTTAGTTTTATTTTGTACCTCTATTCCATTGTTGTTTGTCGTCCTTGAACATTGACAAAATACGTCCAATAGTACAAATGATGACGTCGGTGTAAATGTTGAATGGCTTTCATGTATAGTGCTCATTTCTTCCTCGATCTACCATTCTCCCTATAGAGCGAACTAGTTCGAATTATTTTGCCTTTCTCGATTCCGTTTCTTTCAAAGCCTCTACATATTATTTAATTATGGGACCTTGTCATATTTTATCACTTCTCTGTCAGTTGTGGCAAATAATGTTTCAATCTTGTCACTCCTATCATTATGTGATGGTTGCAACATTTGCTATAAAGAGAGTAAGATGCTTCTCTTTTGTTTCGTGCTCCATGCTCTCTAATAGGATCCACATTTTATGATGGTTTTGCACATCCAACCAAAAAATTAAATAGAAAAGAGCTATTGTTTCCATTGTTCAGTTCAACCTACACAAAATTCCAACACAAAAAAATGAACACAAAAATTGAACACAAAGGTTCTTATTGGTTAGTTCTAGAGTAGTTCGGTCACTGTTTAACATTTTTTCACAACTTCCATAAAATTTCCAACTAAAAGTTAAAATAATTGATCAAACAACTAAAATTAAACTAAAGCAAAAGAATAATTTCATTAATTGATTTATCTATTGAAGTTAAACTACAAAAATATTATTTAAATCAGTAAGGTTACACTTGAATGCCCCCTTATTTTAAAATTGTGCACTTTAATACCTTGTTGTTTCCACCGTAAAATCCTTGACGCCGTTAAAATTTTTCATAAAGATCAAAATGCCCCGTGTCAGCTCACATATGACTATTCTTGAAGGATGGTTTAATTGTAATTTTGATTAAATTTAGGCGTATTAAACTATAGCAAAATACCTCGTGACAGCTCACATGAGAATATTCGTAAGAATATTTTAACGACTAACAGAGGGCACCAATGTGCAACATTTTAAAATTTTGGGGTATTTAAGTGCAGCATTTTAAAAACTTTGAGGTATTTAAATACATATTTTTATACTTTGGGGTATTTAACTTCACGATTTTAAAATAGGGGTCGTTTTAAGTGCAACATTAGTGAAACTATAGGGCATTTAAGTGCAATTTAGCCAAAAAAAGAACTATAAAAAACTTTAACTTTTTTTACCAAGTAAATATTCGACAAGAGAAACCTATAAAGATTGTTGTAGGCTTGAACTATTGAAGTATCCTAGAGATCACTTTGTCTTCATCAAGATGTTGTCAGCTTGGCATGAACGAAGCTCAGAGACCTTTGCCTTTGCCTCCTCGTTGTCTTTGTCTAGTCTATTCCTTGGCTTTGTCAGTTTCTCATTGTCATTGACTCCCGTTGTAGCCTCTCGTCGTCATTTACTCCCATTTTTCCTCTCGTCGTCATTGATTTTTTTAGGGCTACGAAATTGGGGATGAGGCGAAATTGAGGAGATGAGTGGATTAGGGCTGTGAAAGAGACAATAATAGGGTATTGATACTTTAGCTGGTGGAAAGTGGATTCCACTAACTTATTGAACTATTTTTTTAGCATGCGCTTGGTAGCATTACAATAGCGTGTGTCGTGACATGAGCTATGAACCAAATAGCATACGTTAAGCAACATTTGTGCACTGTGGACGTTCCTTAGTGGGAGGCTGACGCTACATTACAAGAAACACTATTTCGCATTGCGTGGCATGTTTTTTTCAACATTGATATAAACGTAGTAAAACTTAATAAATTTAGACTGAAACTTAGGTTATCCGGACACTTCATCTAGGCTCTCATATCCGTGTCCGATACTTCCCATGTCCATGTCCGTGTTTAGCACTCCTTAGACACTTCTCGAATATGTACATATGTTTTTTCTGATGTATCCTTAATTATATAACACATGCTTTAGTTTAAAATACTTGCGATACGCTTCTTGAACATATATCATAAACTTCATCTCAAACTTATGCAACTCATTAGGATCGGGACAGGTTCTTTTTAGCACATACCTAGTACATAAACATACTTTTAAAGGGTCATTTGGATATCTAGTTCAAAAATGAGCGATTTTTCAATTTATAATCTACTCCATAAAAGAAACATCAAAATGGTATAAGGATTTTGGTTTCCATAACATGTAAATGGAAAACAATATCGTTCTCATATAGATTATTAATTTTAATATGTATGTATATACTCATGTCCCCATATCCTAACTTTTGCAATTTTGTCGTGTCCCGTATCCACACCCATGTTTGTGTCCGCACCCGTATCCGCGTAAACAGATTGAAACTAATTAAGCTCATAGATTTGCCAGAACCTAAACTTCTAGGAGCAAAAACCAAAAATGGACCCATGTTCTCAAACCTTGCTCCAAAGCCAAGTGTGGTGGTGATTGCTGCTGTGACGATCTTCCTTCTATTTTGAACTTTCCACCAGTTTTTTCCATTTAACAAGACTGGAAACGTCTTGTGATGACTATGTTTGTACAAACAGTTTTTTCTTTGTAATAGTAAGCAGGAGAGGATTTATGTCAGAATGACAAAATATGATCTCCCCCAGTAGAAAGAAAAAGAAAGGAAAGAAGAAAATTGAAAATAATACCAGGACTCTATCCATGCAGATCTGCACAGATGGGTATACTGCTGACTTTTGTTTTTTCCCCCATGTAAATAATTCAGTGAATGGAATTCCATTTTGATTAAGTACTTTTCTTGTGTTTCAATGGATCATCATATGATCTACTGCTATTGCAACTTTAAAGTTAAACAATTTTTTTCAAGTTTTGTCTCTATCATATGAAAGTTAATTGGAGAAAATAAAAACAGTAAGATGGTTCATACTTCATACATGCAGTGCATAAGATGTTTTATAGCATGTGATGTAATTAATATGTAGTACAAACCAAAGGTGGAACTGTAACATTGATTCCAATTGAATTTATTATCTTTTATGTGATACAGCTAAGAAATTTTTTGAAGTAATTAGAAACTAGTGTCACATCAATGAAATAAGCGGACAATTTTGTGGCTAAATATGTCTAGACAGAAGATTCTATTTGTTTCTGCCCCTTCGAGTCATATTAGTTTCTAATCTTCTAACCAACTATGTATGTGTGGTTTTTGAATCCTAGCCATTACAAATGGCATCATAATCCGTGTTTGGTCAGGTCTTGGACTGGCAGCTAGTGACTGGTCTCTCGTGGCTACATTGTTTTTAAAAATCCTTATCATAGCCCATATATCGGCCAATATGTTTTTTTATAATTCTTGCTACAAAAGGATATGGTCTCAATATCATTTACCACTTTTGGCAATTTTTGGGTAGCATCATGATTTTCTCAATATATTTGGAGTGCTTTATTTATATTGTGTTTACTTGCATATTATTTGTAACTTTTATGAATGTTTTGAATATTTATCGTCTGGTTTACTAGGGCAGTTGCCTTTTTTGGTGTCTCTCACCCCAAACAACATATGACTTCATCTCCTTGGCCTTGCTTGTAGCTTTTAAAACACTGATACCTAGTGACTCTCGATCTCTAAAAGATCGTTTGAAATGTTCTAATATATTTTTTGACTTTTATTTTTTTAAATATAGGATTCGGTTTATATTCAAGTAATGTCCAAATCTAAACAAGTATCAGCTTATGTAAATAACTGGAAAGAACTATGTCCCTATTGAGACCAAATTTTCTTGCAAAAATTTCACAAAAGTTACTACCTTTCTCCATATCTCCATTCTTTGGGGCATCAAGTATGAACATTTATGATATATAGTCAACATTGTTCAATATGACAGTCAGATATTCATGAAATATTTCTTGGGGCTATCAAATATGATGATTTATGATATATGTACACATTATCGGATATGACATTGCTATATTTACTAAATATTTCTTTGGTCTATTAAATATGAGCATTTATGATATATGTGCACACATTATCTGATATAACACCTTGATATTTCATATATATCTCTGATATATCCTTGATATCCTACATACAATATGGAAATTTTCCATCCCACTAGTCCTCAACATAATTGAAATTTTAGAGCACTTCCCGGTTACAAGCAACTAGTGAATATTGTAGTTGTGGCTTAGTTGAGCTTATTGATATTCATTGGTCAGTAAAGGGTAAAAGTTCATGAGTGGAACTCACATCAGGTAATTGAGTTTACAGATCTTTGGCCAACATGTTTGGAGCTAAGCCTGTTGGAGGCTTTGTCCATTTGGGTCATCTGGGTTCCAAGACTGTAGCCAAACTTCCGTTGAGGTTTATGTGCCTCTGTCACTATCGTTTAATCAGAATAATTAATTATATTTTTTTCATTTTTTATATCATCTAGTGTGTCATTCATGCTAATAGGAATGGAAACACAGGAGGAGGTTACAATGTAACTCAATTCAAGATATGGCTTGATCCCTCTCCTGTTTTGTTCATAATATGATCCAGTTAGACGAATTAAAAAATATGAGGTGATGTGTCTCTCAAAGGATTTACTGCATCTTGTAAGATACTGGTTCAGCCAAAAGTCAGCATACAGAAGGGTTCACTGGGTAAAATAGAAAGATATTATGTTCTAATTAATCTTCCCTTTTTGTTTTAGTGAAAGATTGAATAAGGAATGATTTTTTTTACACATTTAGCCTTATGCTGACATTCTATCATACATGTTAAGCTCACTCCTGGCTCTTTTGATTGTACAGTGCATCTCTACAAACATATGCTCATGATGATATTTCAGTGGGTTCATGGATGATGGGTCTTGACACAAGCCATGTTGATGATGACCGACTTTGTTGCAGCAGCTCTAGACAAGGTGAGACAATCCTTATAATTATTTTTCTGGGAACAACTTTTCTGCTTAAAATGAAATTGTGCAATCTTTCAGTAGGTTATTTTCCTCAATCAACCCTGAAATCTTCCATATCCCCATATTAGTATAAAATCATTACATTTCCAAAGTGATATCTCAAACCATTTATGTGGATGGTAACCCATCTCTTGTTAGTCTCTGTTATATTGGTGCCTTGGGTCAAATTTTAGGGCTCTTATTGTTCATTTTTTTGGAAGACCCTTAAGACTTTTGGGTCTTTGATGTTCCCCGTTTCAGTTTATGGTTAGGAATTCTGTAAGCAAGTAGAGATAATCTCTGTTCGGGTTCAAGTTAAGAGTTTTATGAGTTTTTAACCCTTTTGTGATCACATTTGATGCAATAATCCCCCTCTTTTGTCTGTAAAGTCTTAGCATGGAAACCACCTTGTGATTTCTTTTCTCTTGTTTTGATCTGTGTGATTGTGTTATTGTGCAATCCACTGTCTCTCAATCTAGATAATTGTCTTGCATTGTCAATAAAACCCCATATCGTTGCAGAGGTCTCTATTATTTTTAATCTAGACTCTAATTGATTAAACAGTTGGACAGTATTCTTAATATATTCGCCAACCACTAGGGGGCTAATTCATTGGGGCAAATTGGGAAAAGTGAGACAATTTTAAACCATTAGGACAATTTCAATGCAACGAAGGAGGATGTCTTGCGATAATAGGACAATTTGAAACTAGAATTGAAACAATTTAAGTGGCATAACTGATGATGTGATGCTATATTAAAATATAATCTATTAAGTCTGAATTAACTTAACCAATTTGTTTTAATATAATATTTGTTAATTATATTGTATGTAATATTATATTTTATAATATATTACATTAATTTCACATTACAATATATTATAATTATAAATAATATAATTTGTTAAAATTTGTTCAATGCTATCAATTAATATAATATGTTAATTTGATGTATTATATTATATGTGTGTGTGCGCGCATGCGTGCATGCTTGTGTGTTGTGTGTGCGCAAATACTTATTATTTAATTGTTTTATATTTATCTATTTACTTATTGATTTTTCTATTTAACTAAATATTTAATATAATTAGCATATATTAGTTTGTTAATATGTGAATGGTCAAAGGTATGTTTGACAACCCCCAAAACTTGGACAAGATCAATCATGGCTCAGTTCTATCCTAGTCTAGGGGAGGGGTGGATAAATCTGTGAACTAGTTTAGTGGCTAAAGTTTGGCCTATGGAAACAAGCTAATTTTAGCATAGTTTTTGCTGAACAAAGAAAAAAAAATCCAAAACTTGGCTAGGGTCAGTCTTAGTCCAGAACACACATTAAAATTATCTCACTTGCCTCAAATTGTCTCAATGTGAGGGTTGGGGCTAATTTGGGTTTGGGGGCAAAATTTTTACCCTATGTGGGACAATTTTATCTCAAGTGAAATAATTGTCCTAGTGTTCTGAAAAACCAATCTATACTACTATTTAAAAGAAGCCACTTTTGATTTATGTGAGCTTTATCTATAGAATTTTGAAAATGTCCTCATATTTAAAAAAAAGGAATATGCCCTCACACTTGATAAAAGTTAGCTCCACAAAAATTGGTTGACGCCTAGGAAAATCAATGAGAATTTCCTCAGACTTGGAAAATTCGAAGAAAAAAACTAAGAAATTGTCTGTGTCCTTAACAATATTACTACAACACTCCCACTGGTTTCATGTCTTCATCTTATACACCATAATACGAGTTATTATTTAAAGGATTAATTATAGTCTTGTATCATGTGGTATAATGTAATTACACTGGTGACCCTATGGTTTGGGTATCTTCACTAATAACCTTGAGGTTGCTATCTTGTATCACCGCAGCCCAAAATCAAACTGTTTCTTAACACAATTTGTTTTTTTGCTAACATGTCAAGTAACACAACATGGGAATTTCTAAATATACCCTTTCTACATTCTAGTACCTTGTGGTATAATGTAATTGCACCCATGACCCTGGAGTCTAAGTATCTTCAATGGTAGCCCTAATTAGTCCTTCAAATCTTCAATTTATTCCATCAAATCTTTAAAGTTTCTCATTAGTCGAAATCATTTTATAAAAGGGTTATTTAGATACTGGTCCTGCAAATCTTCAGTAATTCCATATTAGTCCCTCAAATCTTAAGTAATTTCAAAATTTTGAGGGACTAATATGGAATTACTAAAGATTTGAAGGATTGGTTTCTAAAAACTCTTTCATGAAAGGATTTGTTTCTTAATAATTCGCTCAGCTTGTTTCAATCGCTGAGCTTTGTATGGTTCCCTACATTCCATGTAAGCATCATGGATTATATCCCGCCAAATGCTGAGAAAATTGTGTTTGTATGAAAGAACATTTTTGTCCTTTCATATGCAAATTTAAGCTCCATTAGCACGTTCACACTGGCCATCAAACTTGGGGTTACCCTTGTAGATACCCATACCTCGAGGTCACCCGTGTAGTTACATCATATTACAAGGTATCAGAATGTAATTAATCCTTATTTAAAAGAAGCCCATTTGGTTTGTGCATGCTTCATTATTAGAATTTTGAAAGTGCCCTCACATTTGGAAAAAAACGAAGTACCCTCGCACTTGGAAAAAAATAGCGGAATTGCTCCCACTCTTGTAAAAATCTATGAAAATGCCCTCACATGGAAACATCCAAAATAACTAACAAACTATTTGTTCCATTGACATTCCAACATCTCCCCAGGTTGTGTCATTTACGCATCATGTGCACTAGAATATTAGTAACACCAGGAAGCAAAGCTCCAATTCTAGTAACCAATGAATAATACCAAAAAGTAAAGTTGTTAATGAATAACACCAAACAGTAAAGCTGTCAGGTTATTGTCCCAATGAATCCCACCCACCCCACCTGCCACCCCAGACCACCCCAAGAGAGCGGAGCACAAATATACCCATGTGATAAATGTATGACTGTATGACTGCTTCAGAATAACTATACCCTCGGATTGGAAAGAATAAGTAAAATGGAGCTGTCATTCCCCAATCTTTGACCCTAATCATTTTCTCTCATGAATCAAGACTTGTTAACTAGATATCCAAATGTTCTCTCCAACAATCTAGTTAGCGCCATATCAAACTCAAGTAGCATGAACAAATTGCTGACATGAAACAGAAATATTTTATGTTTTTCCTTAGAGAATAGCCTAAGAAACAATCATAACTTTCAAAACCACCACATTATATTCTGTTAGTTATATTGGGATCAATATGTCTTTAGTTGGGAATTTTTTTAAAAAAATAAAAAAAAGGATTTGCAATTTTAGGTTCTTCAAAAATTAGGGCGTGGTAAATTTTTTATTCTCTGAACTTTGTTGTTAACGCCTAGGTGGTTTCCCCAAAAAACACCCCAGAAGATATTTAAATGCAGTTTAAACAAATCAAGGTCAAGATAACTTTGCAGTATTGAGCGCAATCTAGCAAAAAAAAGTGGGGAAAACATGGAGATATTTAAACACTATGGATATATATGTGCAAAGGCAGTGAAATATCAGGATATTATTTTGTATTTAGCCCACTAATAAGAGACCACTTTACCTAAGTTGATCTGTTTGAGTTGTCAATTTCAAAGTTTTAAGATTTCAGGTGTTGATAGTGAAACATAAAAGCTCATAGGTGTCAATGTCTCTCTTTTTAATATAGTGTTTCCATTACTAATTGAGATCTTCACCTGTCCTTTTCAGAGAAGGTTTGCTCCTTGGCATGAGCTGTAGAGAATATCTTATATACATGCATCATTGCAGATTACAGGACTTTTCAGGGTTCGCTACTTGAAGGTGGTGTCCACTTGCGCAAGCAGTTTTCTTGTTACTATAATCACTTACCTTTTTTGAAATTTTTGAGGCTATTTATTGTAAGTAGCAGTAGTAACAACTATACTTAAAGAATCACTTTACGGCCTCTTTATTGTACGGTAAAGTATTCATTGACGAACTATCGATGACATTGCACGTTTGTAATAGTAATAGTTTTCACAGCACTGGCTCTCGAACGTTTTCTAAACCGATAAACAATAACTTCGCATTTTTGCGAATTTCATTTTGGGCAGATGCGCATTGTTAAACATGGACCATGAGTACTTATCAGTATCTTGTTGCCATATGAAGAAAGGTTTCCGACCCGCACGGGATTACAGAGGGTAAAATCTACATTTTTTTTTTCTTTTTTTGCTTAATTTAATTGTGTACAGGTCAGCTTCAGAGAATGCAAACCCCCTTCACTTTTTTGCTTAATTTAATGAGAAGAATGATGACGCTTCAAGGATTAAGCCTCAAGATAGGATGAAGCTATATTGGTTCCCTTTTTTTGCTTTGAGATCTCAAAAAGATTGCATTCTGTTATTCCTAGTCCGTTATTTCATTGTTTCATTCTTGACTGTATTATGTTAGGGTGTCCTTCACTTTAAGCTTGGAGAAAATAAAACTGGTGTTTAGCTAGAGCGAGAATGACTCATTTTGTGAACATGGAAAAACCATCTTGTTTATTCGGGAGAGAATAACCAAAACAGTATAATCATTTTCAGATTCTTTATTTCACATTAATCAGAAGATGAACAAGTTTTAAATCACAAACTGTCCAGTAGACATGATTCTATTTTCCGACTTGAAAGAAGGATGGAGGGAAATAAATGTCCTCATTTTCATAGTTCATTGACAAGGACGGTGAATGGCCTTCACTCGGTATAACATTACGCGCTTACTGGTTTTTCTCATGATGCTGGGGCTAGCAGATGCCCCGCGGAGTCACCTTTGGCATGACAAAGCGCAACCCTTTTTATTTACCTAAACAACTTTGACGACGGTTTTCATGAAATGTGATTTGTGATGAAAATATCAAAAGAAACACCTACCCCCTACGAGATAAGACAACTGCGTCCATATTTCTACCCACCCAACTACCTAACGCATCTCCTCTTTATCATGACTTGGTATTTGACGATGAAAGGGAAAGCATTAAAACACAACACTCGTATATTTACGAATAGTCGCAACAAAATCAGGGAGAGAAAAATCAAAAGGAAACCAGAGATTTTGAAGCAGTCCCATATTCATCTCTTCGCTACTCGCCGCAACCGTGGGTATCAGAAATAGATGGTGTAGGCGTAAAAAATTGCCCACGGATTTCCGCACGCAGCTCGAGACAGAGAGAAGACGATGAACGTCACTATCCGAGTCACAGAAGCTTAATTGACGTCGATGAGCGCATGAAGCAAGTCGACGAACCGTGTGACGCAACGGAACTGCAGAATAACGAAGATACGAACTGATCGGGTGCTACGCTTTGCTTACGAAAGACGAAGCGCCCTTCGTGTCTCATCTATTCCACATATGATTCAACATGGGAGCTTGTAGATCTCCTCGCCGGCTTTCATACGCACTTTGAATAGCACAATTCCGAGTTCGGACAACGAAGATACAACGAAAACAAACGAGACGTGCAAAATAGTGCCCCGAACCTTAGCGGAGACACCGGCTGAGGCCGAGACACCGCGGGTGTCCGCAGACCCCAAATAACTGTTTTACGCAGTTTTGAGTCGTTTTTTGACCGTTAACCACTTGGATTTGTTTCAACTGATCTAATATCATCCAAGAACGTGATAAAGTGGTTACAACTGAGAATAAGATTAAATCATTCGTTCTTATCTGAAAATATGGCTCCTGAAGCCTATAAATACAGCCCTAGGGCCTTCATTTGCACAGATCTGAAATTCTCGAGCCTTGGCGAAGCCCTGCTGAATCAGAGACTGAGGAGCACGAATTTTAGAGAGGAGGAGAAGATCGGATCAAGTTCTTCAACATAAGAAAGAAGAGTTCGTCAGATCCATAGCTCGGTTCCTTCCCTCGAGATCGTACCTAGCTGCGATCTCGAGAAGAGTGGTTATCTCACTGTTACCGAGATAACTGCTTTGGTTTCTTAATTCCTTAGTGAATCAACAAAACTCCGGATTGATCTAATCGCTCGGTGGTTCACAGATATTAACGTTCCTGGCACAGACAAAGATCCCACGCAAGCAGCGGGTGATAAACATCTGTTGCGTTTGTTTGAGAAGAGTTATAATTTTTGTTTTCATTGTGTAAGAGTCTTATAAAAAGACTATCTTTTTTTTGTTTTCATTCTAACGACTGAAGTTGTAAAGAATGCATCAATGAAAACATTAACTTTCATACTAAACAAGTTGGCGACCACAGTGAGAGCCAACAGCCTTGCTGCTAAGGCTGTCGTACCGCAGCCATCGATCAAAATCCCTGTGGATGAAGAGGTCGAATACGAGTTCGACCAGCAGAAATTTGAGGAGTACGCCTCCTCCTCCTCCTCCAGATCGTCTTCTCCTTGCAAGTGCAGGAAGACCGCTTCCCTCAAGAAGGTTCGTTAGTCTTCTGATCTGAAGATTCGGGGTGACGCTCTTTACCTAATTGCTGCTAAAGGCTTCTCCCCGACGCTTAAGAAGGCCGGATCCGATGTTCGTGACAACTCCTCAAAGGTCAAGGAGTTGCCAGTTGAAGACACACTTTTGTTGACGAAAAGGGCTCGTCAAAGGCGCCGTCAACATCACGCCCGTCAATTCGCCAAAGCTTTGGATCAGGTGGACGGACTCTGTTACCAAGCGGATCTAGAGTTTAGAAAGCGCCAAGTGGCTAATCCAACCCCCCCGCCACAACAAGCATCGGGGTCCTCCTCCCAACCATCAACTAACAAATGGGTTCGTGTCAAACGAACACGTTCTACTCTCGAGGAGCGCATCCAGAAGCGCCGCGCACTTCTTGCACACATCCGGATCATTGTGCATAAAGCATAAGAATTATAAAAAGAAGAGGTATTCAAAAGGCCACCAAGATCTAAGAAGGTTTGGGTGCCGAAGGCCAAGTCAGCGCTTCTACCCAACACGAGACATCAGTCGTGTCTCTCGCTCGATTCTAGATCCAAAGCTGGTTCCCAGCTTTCGTCAAGTTCAGATCTCGCTCCTTCTAATCCTGCATCTCTGGTGAAGCTCCGCGACAGTATGGACATATCCAAAGGCAAGAAAACAATGGTGAACCGCCTAGGTCCTTTGCATGAAGATCGAGACAAGGTTCCCGTTAGAGAACGCTTGGGCCCAGTGAAGGAACCCCAAGCAACCATCCAGACTGAGGGTTGTACGCGACCTCCTAACAAGCTGATTCCTGTGACCATCCACTTGGGGGTACGTACAGAAGGCAAGGAGCCCGTTAGGGTTTCACCTTCACAAATGTGTGATTCCAAACATGTGACTCCTGCAAACGCCAACAAGGCAGCAAATCCTCAGAAGGAAATGTGTTTTTCAAACGACGACGTTATACCTGAGAAGTCATGCCAACACACGATAGATTACTCCGGTCATCACGCTCACTACAACAAAATACAACATTGTCGACGAAACAAAAACATCGGTAAAAGTTTAAAAACGTTGGGAAAAATCTTTCCTGACGCAAAATGCAGCGTCGCTAACGCGTCGCCAAAAGCACGTCAAGGAAAGTATTTGGCGACGCAAATACACTGCGTTGTCGAAAGTATTATTTTGGCGACGCGTCATGCGTCGGGAAAAGTATATCTTTTAGCGACGCATAATATTTTGCGTCAGCAAAACATGTACTTTTGGCGACGCATGCAGGGTCGGCAAAAACTATGCGTCGGCAAAAGTATAGCTTTTAGCGACGCAAAATTGTTCGTCGCTAAAAGTAATACTTTTGGCAACATAAGTTAGCGTCGGAAAAAGTTTAGCTTTTAACAACGCAGAATAAAGCGTCGCTAAAAACTATACCTTTGGCGACGCAAGATAGCATCGCTAAAAGATATTAATTACTTTTGGCGACGCAATATAGCGTCGGCAAAAGTATAATTTTTAGTTTTTTTACACTAATTTTCATCGCCAAAAGTAATATATTTTCTGTCAACTATAATGAACCTGAACATCCACAACAAATTTGCTCTCATTCACATCAACAAAAAACCAAACATCAAATTATACTACAAACAAGTTGTATATTAACAGCTAAAATAATATTAGTGCTTATTTTCACAATCATTAAAATGAAACAAATAATAACATTAGTAAATAAATTTAAACGCAATTCTATTAAACAAATAACAAGTGTTTGACACATGTTTTATTAACAAATCCAACAATCATGATTAAGTGGACTTGAACAATAAAGACTACAGAGAACCCATGTCTTATCAACGTTGCAAGCCTTTTCTTCGTCACGTCTCTGGATTCTTCTTCTCACCTTCACCATCCATCTCCAACTTCTGTTGTGTAGCTGCAATGGAAAGAAATCTACTCAGTAAGGCAAATAAAAAGAGATATTATCAGAAATTTAGAAAAACATATGCGAGAAATAAGTTATACTGCTACAGAAATCACAACATCTCATTCACACAAAATGATATACACATGCATTCTTCAAGATTCATTTATTTTCATGAAATAGTTCTTTTTCCTCCTAGGTGAATGATTTGGGCATTCCTAACACAGTCGTCAGAGATAATTCCAAAAAAAGGAAATGGTATGTTGAGAAATCCCCCAAAAGAAAATGGCATGTTTGTATCTGCTATGAGTTTTGTACATTCTTATTGCAGAGAAATTGGAATACCACATTGATTAAAACAAAAAAAAAATATTGATGACTTGTGCAAGCAAATAACTTGCATACGGTCACATGGAAAAAAAGTGATATTATTTATCAATTTCATTATTTTGTTGGATTTCACTACAACCATCCATGAATCATACTTGAAGTTGAAACATGAAGAGGTATTAGCTTCACACCTGTTCTGTAGATTTAAAAAATAGGTATTGAGAAAAAGCAGCATAAACATCATACCTGTTGTTCGCGGGAAAAACCGTTGCTTTCTTCATTAATGATTCCATTGTACACTCTTGTAATAGTCTATCGATTACAAAGATCCGGTCTTTTTATAAGATCCGGTTACAAGGAAAATCAAAATAAAATAAAACAAAGATTACAACTTTTCTCCTTTATGTCGAACGAATCGCGAGCTCCTGTTTTGCGGTCGCTCGCTTGGTGGGTTCTTTGCCTGCGCCGGGGTTATTTGCCGTGGACCACCGCGAGATCTAGATCCGGTCGGATCTACGCAGTACGACGAGTATTATTTCACCAAGGAAATAATAGCCGGGGAGGATTGTTTCACCAAGGAAACAATCGTCCAAGTCTCGGGATCTAAGACCAAGCTTAGATCCGGAGTATGCCTGCGTAGATCTGAGATCTAATCCTCTCGAACACCTGCCTTATTTGACGTTGATGATCGCCGAGCACCAGATCTGAAGGAGTGAGTCCCCGAAGTCCCAAAGTTTCAATCTTTTTTAAGTTCCGAGTCTCCAATCTAGCAGGGCTTCGTCTCTCTCCAAAATTTCCAACCTTTCAAAATGAACAACCCCCTCTCCTATTTATAGCCAAGCGTCACTGTGCCCGTGTGCACGTGTGGCCGACACCCTAGGTGGCCGGCCACCTCAAGGTGGCTTTGTTGATCTGGACTTGATTCGGTTGTGTTTCTGTTGTGTGGTTGATTAACCTGGAAACGACTCGTTGACTTGATTCCAGATTTGGCAGTAAGTCCGGATCCTGATTAGGCAGTAAATCCACTTCTGAGTTGGAGTCTGAAACCGATCTTGATTCGATCGTCATTCGTTCGAGTCCGCTCTCGGTTGGATGACTCGTTGACTCTTCGAACACTTGGCTTGATCCCGCACGCGAATGGATGTATTCCGTTGCTTGCGTGCGATTCGTCGATCTCGTCGCCTCGTTGGTTTGTCGGTTTGTGCCGAGCTATGCTAGGGGACCTATAAGCAATTTTATATGCCTACAGATACCCCCTCCAAAGTATTTCAGTCTCGTTCTTTTATAGAAGAGTCTGGAATACTTTGGATATGCATGTCCCAACCTTCAGTCGGTGTAATGGGACATTGGAATGACTTCCGTTCTTGATTCCTTCAATCTTCCAGGTTATTCGGTGCTTTGTCGAAAGTCTGTAAGAGTTCCGGTGCTGCATTTATTGTCTGACCGTTTGTCGGAGATTTTGAACCTTGAAGTCGATTCCTGATTTTTGATCTTCAGCTCGTAGAATTGACCATCGATTGCTGGCGTCAAGTTTTTATGTGCAAGGAACTGGTTCGGACATTATTATCAGTTAACTAACCGGGTTATCCTTAAGAATATTAGCTTAATATTCTCCAGGAACTTCCCGTCAAAAGTGGGGAAACAGTTTAGACTCATATACCTATTGGAGTATTTAAGAAGCAGTTTTTTATACTCATATACCTTATTGGAGTAAGAAGCAGTTTATACTCGTATACTTTTCGGAGTATTTAAGAAGCAGTTTATACTCGTATACTTTTCGGAGTAAGAAGCAGTTTATACTTGTATACTTTTCGGAGTAGTGATTCTCAATCCTAACTGTAGGAAGGTTTGATCGCTCAATTTGTGGACCTCTCGTTCATTGGGGGAATCGAGAGGGGATTTTGACTGTGGTCCTAACTGTAAGAAGGTTTGACCAAGTGGGTGTTTTGAGACAATCCTAACTGTAGGAAGGTTTGATCGCTCAATTTGTGGACCTCTCGTTCATTGGGGGAATCGAGAGGGGATTTTGACTGTGGTCCTAACTGTAAGAAGGTTTGACCAAGTGGGTGTTTTGAGACAATCCTAACTGTAGGAAGGTTTGATCGCTCAATTTGTGGACCTCTCGTTCATTGGGGGAATCGAGAGGGGATTTTGACTGTGGTCCTAACTGTAAGAAGGTTTGACCAAGTGGGTGTTTTGAGACAATCCTAACTGTAGGAAGGTTTGATCGCTCAATTTGTGGACCTCTCGTTCATTGGGGGAATCGAGAGGGGATTTTGACTGTGGTCCTAACTGTAAGAAGGTTTGACCAAGTGGGTGTTTTGAGACAATCCTAACTGTAGGAAGGTTTGATCGCTCAATTTGTGGACCTCTCGTTCATTGGGGGAATCGAGAGGGGATTTTGACTGTGGTCCTAACTGTAAGAAGGTTTGACCAAGTGGGTGTTTTGAGACAATCCTAACTGTAGGAAGGTTTGATCGCTCAATTTGTGGACCTCTCGTTCATTGGGGGAATCGAGAGGGGATTTTGACTGTGGTCCTAACTGTAAGAAGGTTTGACCAAGTGGGTGTTTTGAGACAATCCTAACTGTAGGAAGGTTTGATCGCTCAATTTGTGGACCTCTCGTTCATTGGGGGAATCGAGAGGGGATTTTGACTGTGGTCCTAACTGTAAGAAGGTTTGACCAAGTGGGTGTTTTGAGACAATCCTAACTGTAGGAAGGTTTGATCGCTCAATTTGTGGACCTCTCGTTCATTGGGGGAATCGAGAGGGGATTTTGACTGTGGTCCTAACTGTAAGAAGGTTTGACCAAGTGGGTGTTTTGAGACAATCCTAACTGTAGGAAGGTTTGATCGCTCAATTTGTGGACCTCTCGTTCATTGGGGGAATCGAGAGGGGATTTTGACTGTGGTCCTAACTGTAAGAAGGTTTGACCAAGTGGGTGTTTTGAGACAATCCTAACTGTAGGAAGGTTTGATCGCTCAATTTGTGGACCTCTCGTTCATTGGGGGAATCGAGAGGGGATTTTGACTGTGGTCCTAACTGTAAGAAGGTTTGACCAAGTGGGTGTTTTGAGACAATCCTAACTGTAGGAAGGTTTGATCGCTCAATTTGTGGACCTCTCGTTCATTGGGGGAATCGAGAGGGGATTTTGACTGTGGTCCTAACTGTAAGAAGGTTTGACCAAGTGGGTGTTTTGAGACAATCCTAACTGTAGGAAGGTTTGATCGCTCAATTTGTGGACCTCTCGTTCATTGGGGGAATCGAGAGGGGATTTTGACTGTGGTCCTAACTGTAAGAAGGTTTGACCAAGTGGGTGTTTTGAGACAATCCTAACTGTAGGAAGGTTTGATCGCTCAATTTGTGGACCTCTCGTTCATTGGGGGAATCGAGAGGGGATTTTGACTGTGGTCCTAACTGTAAGAAGGTTTGACCAAGTGGGTGTTTTGAGACAATCCTAACTGTAGGAAGGTTTGATCGCTCAATTTGTGGACCTCTCGTTCATTGGGGGAATCGAGAGGGGATTTTGACTGTGGTCCTAACTGTAAGAAGGTTTGACCAAGTGGGTGTTTTGAGACAATCCTAACTGTAGGAAGGTTTGATCGCTCAATTTGTGGACCTCTCGTTCATTGGGGGAATCGAGAGGGGATTTTGACTGTGGTCCTAACTGTAAGAAGGTTTGACCAAGTGGGTGTTTTGAGACAATCCTAACTGTAGGAAGGTTTGATCGCTCAATTTGTGGACCTCTCGTTCATTGGGGGAATCGAGAGGGGATTTTGACTGTGGTCCTAACTGTAAGAAGGTTTGACCAAGTGGGTGTTTTGAGACAATCCTAACTGTAGGAAGGTTTGATCGCTCAATTTGTGGACCTCTCGTTCATTGGGGGAATCGAGAGGGGATTTTGACTGTGGTCCTAACTGTAAGAAGGTTTGACCAAGTGGGTGTTTTGAGACAATCCTAACTGTAGGAAGGTTTGATCGCTCAATTTGTGGACCTCTCGTTCATTGGGGGAATCGAGAGGGGATTTTGACTGTGGTCCTAACTGTAAGAAGGTTTGACCAAGTGGGTGTTTTGAGACAATCCTAACTGTAGGAAGGTTTGATCGCTCAATTTGTGGACCTCTCGTTCATTGGGGGAATCGAGAGGGGATTTTGACTGTGGTCCTAACTGTAAGAAGGTTTGACCAAGTGGGTGTTTTGAGACAATCCTAACTGTAGGAAGGTTTGATCGCTCAATTTGTGGACCTCTCGTTCATTGGGGGAATCGAGAGGGGATTTTGACTGTGGTCCTAACTGTAAGAAGGTTTGACCAAGTGGGTGTTTTGAGACAATCCTAACTGTAGGAAGGTTTGATCGCTCAATTTGTGGACCTCTCGTTCATTGGGGGAATCGAGAGGGGATTTTGACTGTGGTCCTAACTGTAAGAAGGTTTGACCAAGTGGGTGTTTTGAGACAATCCTAACTGTAGGAAGGTTTGATCGCTCAATTTGTGGACCTCTCGTTCATTGGGGGAATCGAGAGGGGATTTTGACTGTGGTCCTAACTGTAAGAAGGTTTGACCAAGTGGGTACTTTACGTCCAGACTCTAACAGAGAGAGTGTTGAGTGCATAGACATGGTGAGAATGGGAGTTCTTATTCATTACATTGCTGTGGTTTTGGGAACTTCCCGTTACATAAATCGTCCACCCCCAGTTTCCTCTGCGGAACTGGTTCGGACATTATTATCAGTTAACTAACCGGGTTATCCTTAAGAATATTAGCTTAATATTCTCCAGGAACTTCCCGTCAAAAGTGGGGAAACAGTTTAGACTCATATACCTATTGGAGTATCAGGGAACAGTTTAACCTCTTGTACCGGTCGGAGGATTGAGAAACAGTTTATACTCGTATACTCTTTGGAGTTTTGCCGTTCTCAATTGGCTTACCTTAGCGTTATGACGCCGGCTTCAACCAAGGTCTGAATGCTATTCTTGAGAGCAAAGCAATCCTTGGTGGGATGAACGACCCTCCTGTGGTATGCACAGTACTTTGGGTCCGTAGTGTTGTCAGCTTCCTCCTGATTTGTGATAGGTGGTAGCTTGATCTTGTTACCTTCAAGGAGGGATTCGAAGATGGCTGGAACGTCTTCGTCCTTGAAGGAATACTCTCTTTGGAGTCTCGGACCCGAAGTCTTTTGCTGCCTTCGGGATTGCTGTTGTGACGCTTGATTAGCACCACCAGTAGCTGCAGGTGTTTTGCCCTTACCACGAGAGGCGAAGTTTGAGTCCAGAGGATTAGCCGTCGGTAGGTTCCTCTCGGCCTTCTTCCTTCGGAGGAAACGTTCGGCTTGTTCACCGCGCACCTTCAGATCCTTCCAAGTGTCAGACGGTGCTGTTCCCATTGCTTCCAACACGTCCAACGCAAGGTTGTTGTGGCAAGTTTGGAGGATGAATTCCTCTGTGATCGGGTCCCGGCAATTCATCGCCTTGTTCCGGAACCTTTTGACGAAGGTGTCGACTAACTCCCCGTCTTTTTGCTTCTCATCGAGCAGCGATCCGATAGAGATCTCGGTGTCGTCGTCGAAGAAATTTGCAAGGAACTTCGTCTCCATGTCATCCCAGCTGTTCACGCTTCCTGGCTTGAGGCGGCGGTACCAATCGAAGGCGGCTCCGCGAAGAGTGCCGACGAATGACCGCACCATCAGAGGCTCATTGCCGGAAATAATACCCAGGTGCGATTTGAAATAAATCAAATGCTGAGTGGGGGAACCCTTCCCATCGAACGGCGTGAAGTTGATTAAACTGAACTTCGCCGGATAGGGGATCGATTCCCACTCTCTTGGGTATGGACAGGGAATGCCTGTTTTCTTCGTCTCTTGAGCGGAGATCAATGTGTTGATTTTGCTCTCGAGATCTTTGATCTTCAAGTCTTCACTTGTATCCTCGTTGGCATCCTCGTTACCACCCCCTGCATTGACGGGAGGGTTATTGGCATTGTGAGCTCCATCCCTATCCGTGTGCTCTTCTTCCTGAACAACCTGATTACGGTGACTTGGTTCACCTTGTTGGTTCCTGAACGCCTGGATTTGTTGCTCATGCATCTCTCTCATAGTCTGCATGGCCATCTGCATCTCAAACTTGAAACTTTCTTTCTGTTTAGCCAAAGCGTCTTCAAGCATCTTGGCCATTTCTTCCGCGCTTATCATAAATGACTCGCGGGGTTGTCCTTCGCTGGACACTGTATTGTCCGATGCGACAGCAGAGCAGGAATCCGATTCTTCATCTTCCGAAGGCAATCTTGTCCGAACCCTACCATAAGTTCCTCGTGCGATGGCTCCGGACTGCAGACGGGTTACACGCCGGGACGCTTCCAGAAACGATTTGAGATCAATCTGTGTCGATGTCTCTTTGCTGGTCATGTTGGCGGTGACCCTCGGAAATTCTCCGTCTTTAACCACCGTTCTTCTTTGCCGGAAACGCCTACACCTTGGTTTTGGCGTTTCGGTGCCGAGTCTTTCGAACACTGAAATTCTCTCGGGGATTACCTTGATGCAGTTGCATTGAGACAGTACCGCCCGAATGAGCTTTGAACAAGGGCACTGAGTTTCCTGTTCTCGGGGACTCCTCTTTCTGGTTCTGTTCGTACCCCCAGCACGATAGTACAACTCGTCATTTTGACAGTCGGAGTAACCTATCGTGTGTGGGCACGACTTCTCAGGTATAACATTATCACTATCAGATGATAATGTTTCCATCTGAGGGCGAATTGCCTTCCTTGGACTTTCAAGAGTCACGCGCCTTGAGACATGCCTTTTTGGGCGTGAATTCTCAGCGGGCTCTTGGACCTCAATGCGCAAATTAGCGCGTGCAGTTGCCTTGAGCTCCTTGTCATGTTGGAGGTAGCGGTGACCCCCAGCGTGTTGATTCGTTCGGGGTTTTCTTAGTGGGCCCAAACGTTCTTGGATCGGAGCTTTGCTTCGCTCCTCGGGAAGTGGACCGAGGCGCTCCAAGACTGACTTTCTCCTTCGGGAGGATTCTGCATGATCTCCCGGAGTAGCTATGGGAATTCTCGGCGGCTTAGCTTGGTTCGCCGGAGGTTGAACTTTGGTTGGAGGCTGCAAAGGTTGCTCCTTAGCCTGAATTGCCGCTTCAGACTTTGGCCTCCAAACTTTGCGAGTTGGTGGCGGCTTCTTGGCTACCTCTTTCTGCAGCTTTCTACGGGCTTCTTCAGCTTGAGCCCGTGCCTGCGCTGATAGTGCGCGGCGTTTGCGGATGCGTTCTTCCAGCGTCGAACGATTCCGTTTGACACGGATCCATTCCATTGTTGGCGGCTTGGAAGAGGTGCCGTTCATCTGTTGTTGAGGCTGTTTGCCTCTTTTGTTCTTCAGATCCGTGTTGTAGCGGATCCCGTCAACGGACTCCATGGCCTTTGCGAATCGTTTCGCAAGGCGTTGACGTTGCCTTTGGCGGGCTCTCTTCGAGAGAGTCACCACGCCCCCTGCGGCAGAAGGGTTGGCCAGAGCAGATCTGACCTGGTTGGAAACTGGAGGAATCTCACCCGATGCGACTTTGGCATCAAACGGGGCGAGATCTTCGTTGGTGGCTTCGACTTCTTCATACCAACGAACCTTTCTCCTGGAGGAGAGCTTGGACTTCTTGGACTTGCGGGGGGAGGTTGATCTAGACGAGGATGAAAGGTATTCCTCGAACTTGGTCTGATCGAACTCGTATTCGACCTCCTCCACGACTGGGATCTGAATCCGTGGCTGCGACGCTCCGATCTCGGCAGCGAGATCGGTGGCTCCCACTGTGGTCGCCAGATTGTTCGCTGGAAAATTCGTTGCTTTCTTTGTTATTGATTCCATTGTCATCTTGAGTTACAACTTTTTGAGTTACAAAAGATCCGGTCTTTTTATAAGATCCGGTTACAACGAAAATCAAATTGAAAAGAAATGAAAATTACAACTTTGTTTCCTTGTTTGTCGAACGAATCACGAGCTCCTGTTTTGCGGTCGCTCGCTTTGTGGGTTCTTTGCCTGCGCCGGGGTTGTTTGCCGTGGACCACCGCGCGATCTAGATCCGGTCGGATCTACGCAGTACAACGGGTATTATTTCACCAAGGAAATAATAGCCGGGGAGGATTGTTTCACCAAGGAAACAATCGTCCAAGTCTCGGGATCTAAGACCAAGCTTAGATCCGGAGTGTAGCAACGTAGATCTGAGATCCGGTCCTCTCGAACTCCTGCCTGATTTGGCGTTGATGATCGTCGAGCACCAGATCTGGATGTGCAAGTCCTCGAAGTCCCAAAGCTTGAATCTTTTTAAGTTCCGAGTCTCCAATCCAGCAGGGCTTCGCCTCTCTCCAAAATTTCCAACCTTTCAAAATGAACAACCCCCTCTCCTATTTATAGCCAAGCGTCACTGTGCCCGTGTGCACGTGTGGCCGACACCCTAGGTGGCCGGCCACCTCCAGCTCAGCTTGGGCCGAGCCACCTTGAGGTGGCTCGGTTTCGGCCGAGCCCCTCCGGGTGTTGTTCGTTCCGTCATTTTCCGTTGTCCGGTTCTGTGTTTCGTTGTTGATCTGGACTTGATTCGGTTGTGTTTCTGTTGTGTGGTTGATTGACCTGGAAACGACTCGTTGACTTGATTCCAGATTTGGCAGTAAGTCCGGATCCTGATTAGGCAGTAAATCCACTTCTGAGTTGGAGTCCGAAACCGATCTTGATTCGATCGTCATTCGTTCGAGTCCGCTCTCGGTTGGATGACTCGTTGACGCTTCGAACACTTGGCTTGATCCCGCACGCGAATGGATGTATTCCGTTGCTTGCGTGCGATTCGTCGATCTCGTCGCCTCGTTGGTTTGTCGGTTTGTGCCGAGCTATGCTAGGGGACCTATAAGCAATTTTATATGCCTACACCTGTTACCGTATGGGATCGGCGAGGGTCGATGGAAGAAGGCACGAGAGGAGAAGGAGAACCGCTGCTGAGATCACCGCGGATGGGATCGGCGAGGGTCGATGGAAGAAGGCACGAGAGGAGAAGGAGAACCGCTGCTGAGATCACCGCGGAGTTCTCCATCTCTTTAGCGAGAGAAAGAGATTTGAGATTAGCAGTATTTTTTACCACTTTGAACTCGGATCTCCGTTCTGCGTGATTTGGGGGGTGGCTGGGTGGGGGGATTTTGCACGATTTGGGGGCCCCCAGAAGTAGGGGGCCCTGTTCTACGGAACCGGCAGAACTGGTTCAACGACGCCCCTATGGACAAGAAGCGTATGTGATTGAGAAGAGGAGGAGGATTGCTAGGGCAGCGAAATGAAAAAGTTTTGCGTCGGCGGGGAAATAAAAAAAGAGGGGGAGGAAATGAAAAGTAGGCGGGGAAATAAAAAAAAGAATGGGGTTTTGGCGACGCACAAGAATAATAAAGCGTCGGGAAAAGTATAGTTTTAGCGACGCAATAGTTTTGCGTAGCTAAAAGCTATATTATTGCCGACGCAATATAACGTCGGCAAAAATATTTACTTTTAGTGACGCAAAACTGTTCGTCGCTAAAAGCTACACTTTTGCCAACGCTAACGTGCATCGTCAAATGTATACTTTTTTGCGACGAATATTTTTACGTCGCTAAAAGCTTTACTTTTACCGACGAAAATGAAAAAACGTCAAGAAATCCATACACTTTTACCGACGCTAAGTTAAAACGTCGCAAATAATATACACTTTTAGCGACGCTAATTATAAATATGGGGAAATATATATGTTTTGCCGACGCTGGCTAAAATCGTCGAGAAAAACATAATTTTTGGCGACGTATTTAACCATTCGTCGAGAATAAGCGTCGGGAAAAGTGTAATTTGTTGTAGTGGCTGATAAGTTGTACTATCAGGCTGGGGGTACGAACAGATCTCAAAAGAAAGATACCTGGGGGATGGACTTTCATTGTCCGTGCTCCAAACTTATCTGGGTAGTATTATTAGAATGTAGATGCCCCAAGGTCACTCCACAGAGGGTCTCGTATTCCAAAAGTTTTCCCCTGAAGCGTTGAAACCATGATTGACAGGGGGTAAGTCAAGGCGTTTCCGTAAAAGAAAGTCAACCGGTCAATATAACGAATTCCCTGAAGTCACTATCAACATGGTTGACAGAGGAAAGCCTACGATTGCTTCCAACGGCTCTAATCTTGACTTTTTTTCGAGAAGAAAAGTCAATTTAGGAATAGCTCAACAGATGTCTTGGCTCTAGCTAGAAGCCATAAAACATAGGGTTGACCTAAGGATGCACAAAGGACTATCTTCAGAGGACGAACTTTCAGATACTTGTTCTGCAATCGCCTTCGACGACACAATGTCTAGCGTAGGACAAGCTCGGAAAGTGTTTATGATTAATACCGAGCAAATCGCCAAAATTCTCGAGGATGCTCTAGCCAGGCAAAAAAAAACATTCAAAATTAAAATGGAAATGACTATGCAGCAGATGAGGGAAGAGCATGATCAACAGATTCGGGCTCTGTCCAATCAACTTGGTGAATCCAGCCGTCACAACATTGCTAACCAAGAAGGTAGCAATTTAGATATGGATGAACATCTCAATGCTGATAACCCTCCCATTGACCAGGAAATTGGGGGTGGCCCTACTGAAGATAACGATGCTGGGGGTGGTCTCATCGAAGATGATAATGTCGGGGGTGGCCGTGTTGTTCCTTTTAGAAATCGTCCAAAGCATGATACAGATGAGGACAAAAAGATGAAAGACCTCGAGAGCAAAATTAACGCTCTGATGTCTGCTCGAGAGGTGAAGAAGATTGGTATTCCGTGTCATTGCCTAAGGGATTGGGAGTCGATCCCGTATCCGGTGAAGTTCAACCTGATCAACTTCATGCCGTTCGACGGGAAGAGCCCGCCCACTCAACATCTGATCTACTTCAAGTCCTACTTAGAAATGATCTCTGGAAACGAGCCTTTGATTATCCGATCATTCGTTAGCACCCTTCGCGGGTCTGCCTTCGATTGGTACCGCAGTCTTAAGCCTGAAAGCATCAATAGCTGGGACGATATAGAAAGCTTAATCCTCGAAAATTTCTTTGATGATGACACCAAGGTATCAATAAGGACACTTTTTGAGGAGAAATAGGAAGACGAAGAGACGGTTGATGACTTCATCAAGCGTTTCCGAAATAAGGCAATAAATTACCGAGATCCAGTCACAGAGGACTTCATCCTCCAAACCTATCATAACAACCTATCCATTGATATATTAGAAGTTATGGGAGTAGCACCATCCAAGACTTGGAAAGAGTTGAAGGTGCGCGAAGAGCAGACTGAACACTTCCTAAGAAGGAAGAAAGTCGAAAGAAGCCAATCGACGGCTAACCCTCCAAACTCAAGCTTCATTTCCCGTGGTAAGGGGAGGGCACCTGCAGCAGCTGTTGATATTAATCAGATGTCATAACAACAACCCCGAAGACAGCAAAAGACTTCAGATCCAAAACTCTAAAAAGAGTACTCCTTCAAAGACGAAGACGTTCCGACCATTTTTGAATCCCTCCTCGAAAACAACTAGATTAAGCTGCCACCTATCACGAATCAGGAGGAAGCTAATAATGCTTTGGATCCAAAGTACTGTGCGTACTACATGAGGATCCTTCATCCCACCAAGTCTTGTTTCTCCCTCAAGAATAACATCCAAATCTTGGTTGAAGCTGACGTCATAACGCTAAATTAATATGTATCAAGACTCCGAAGAGTATACGAGTATAAACTGCTTCTCAACACTCCGCAAAGTATACGAATATAAACTGCTTCTCAACCCTCTAACAGGTGCATGAGGATAAATTGCTCCCTATATACTTCAATAGGTATACGAGTCTAAACTATTTTCCAATTTTAACTGAAAGTACTTGGAAGAATATCGTATGTGATATTCTTAAGGATAACCCGACCATTCAGCTGAGTACAATGTTAGACTCAGTTTTACAAAGAAAGTTGGGGGTGGATGTAACGGAAAGTTCTCGAAAGAATGCTATATATTGTGTTCTTAGGGATAACCCGGTCGCTACAAAAAGGGGATGAATAAGAAACTCCCACTCGGACTCTGAATGTTACCAAAGGTGAAACACATCCTACTTCTTGGATCAATTTCACCAACTCCTTCTGTAAACTTCTAAGCACCCTTTTTCTAAGACGAGATTCGATCAATTCGTTGGATCAATCTTCCCTCACAAAACTCCTACGGTGTAATTGTGGAGTGCTCGGACTCTGAATGTTTTCAAAGGTGAAACGCATCCCACTTCTGGGATCAATTTCACCAACTCCTTCTGTAATCTTCCAATCACCCTTTTGCTGAGACGAGATTCGATCACTTCGTTGGATCAATCTTCCTTCACGAAACTCCCACGGTATAATTGTGAAGTGCTTGACGATTCATAGTTCCCCACCACAAAATCCCTCATTGATCAAATCAATTAACAGTAGGACCAGTAAACTCTTTTTGGTCTAATCCACTCAAACTTCCGATGTGTTTGTACACTCAACATTTCTATTGTTAGAGTCCGGACATAGTACTTAGAATTTTAATATCCTGATCGTTGACGATTGCCAAACTCCTCCGTGTTAAGTATTTATCACTTAACACCAGGAACCCCTTTTGAGTGATTTGTACGAATCAACACTCCCACTGTAATTTGTACTCCCACTCTCACTATCCACTCGGTCAAACCTTCCTACAGTTAGGACCACGACCAAAGTCCCCTCTCGATTCCTTCCATGAATGAGAGGTCCACTTTCAAATTGAGCGATCAAACCTATAAAAGTTAGGATTATCTTAAACCCTCACTCGGTCAAACCTGTAAATAGTTAGGGCCAAAATCAGAATTCTCTTTCGATAAACGAAAGGCTTTCACTATTTCCCCTTCGGTCAAACCTATAAAAGTTAGGACTGAAGTCGGAATTTCATTTTCAGATCAGGTAACCAATCCTATAAAAGTTAGAGTTATCTGAATCTATTCGACTCTCGGAGTGGAGATGACACTCTTAGTTTTACCTACCCGGATTCTCGGAGTGGAGATCCCACTTTGAATTTCCTTTGCAATTACAGATAGAATATAAAATTCTTCCTCTCTAGCATCAGGTTCATCTTTGTCCCAAGAGAAGACACCATCCTTCAACTCTAAAATCCGTGTTTCACACGCACGGTGAATTTTATTCCAAAGCCTAATTAGGGATAAGTTAACGCCTAACACGCGTTGCCGGTTTAGTCTTTCACCGATTGAAGAAGACACCAGAATCCAAGTCGGGAGACTTTTATCCCGAATCCTAAGTAGGGATAAGTCAGCGCCTAACACGCGTTACCGGGTAGTCTATTCCCGTGAGAAAGATGAAGTCTACATATTCAATATCATAACACTAAGAGAGTTAACTCTCTTAGCACAACGTCACATGCGGAACGGACTTAAACAATCCGCATGCAAGCTTAATTCAAACGGTAATTGGTAAAGGCAAGCCAAATCCGTTAAAGGATGAGGATTTATAAAAAATCCTAAGTCATTACCTAACATGCGTTGCCGGTTTAGTCTTTCACCGATTGAAAAAGACACCAGAATCCAAATCTGGAGAATTTTGTCCCGAAGCCTAAGTAGGGATAAGTCAGCGCTTAACACGTGTTGCCGGTTAGTCATTGACCGTAAAAAGGACAAAAGCCCACATATTCGATATTATGGCAGGTTATTATTAATAACACCATAATCCGTGCCTTACACGTATGAGGAATTTTATCCCAAATTCTAAGAAGGGATAAGTCAACGCCTAACACGCGTTATCGGTTTAGTCTTTCACCGCATGAAGAAGATACCAGAATCCAAGTCTGAGGACTTTTATCTTAAAACCTAAGTAGGGATAAGTCACCGCCTAACACGCGTTATCGGGTAGTCTATTCCCATGAGAAAGATGAAGTTTACGTATTCAATACCATAGCACTAAGAGAGTTAACTCTTTTAACATAACGTTAC